GATGAGGACACAGGGGCAACTGAGGGTGAGTGAACCCCTCAAAACTTCACTGTGGGGGTCAAGTGAAGTTAACTGGGGTCAAATGAGGACACAGGGTCAATTGAGGACAAGGAAACACCCCAGAGAGTCACTGTGGGGCCAAATGAGGACACGGAGGTCAAACGAGGACACAGGGGTCATTTGAGGTCAAGTGAGCCCCTCAAAACTTCTCCGTGGGGTCAAATGAGGACACAGGGGTCAACTGAGGTCAAGCAAACCCCTCAAAGACATCACTGTGGTCAAACGAGGACATGGGGGGTCGAAGGACAATCAAAGGGTTAAATACTATGTATGGGGGGGGGTGTGGTATCAGCACTGTCCCTCTGGTTACATGGAGGCAGAGGCAGCAGCTGGGGCACCCAGCGGCCTGGGCTGTCGTCCATAGTTGAAACAAGGTCTTAACACCAGGCGCCGTGTTTGTTGCCACCTCCTGCAGGCCTTAGTAGAGCCTGCTGCATTCTAACACACCCGTGTAACACCTGAGTTGTCCCTTAGTGTTTACTACCCCCTACCCTCAGCGTGAGCACAGCTACAGTAGGGGGTCAGGGCACAGGGCAACAACAGAACTGGAGTAGTGGGGGTTAGTACCTGTCATAAATCAGTAAAACAATTCGCTGTTAGAATGTGGAAGGTTCTAATACTGCCGTTCGTTACTGATGAGTTACCGATGTAGTAATACCTAGAGTAGGGAGCACTACAAGCAGCTGTTTCAAGCTGTACAGTATTAGACACTAACAATTATCTCTGAGCAGTAGTTAAGAGTAGCTGGTCCTAAAATTTTCTATCAAAATTTATCAGAACGTAGGTGTAGATGTCTTACTACCCACAACAGCTGGTGACACCTACCGCGGTAGCTTTCACTGTTAGTCATTAAGTAGTGACTAGTATCTCTATTAGCTAGAAATACAATAGAATCTCTCCTAATAGAATCTATAACAGCATCTACTTAGATAACTGCATTAATAACTACTACTGATAATTCTGTATTGTTAGAATTCATGACATTTACTCTTAGTATACTTAGTAGCCAGCCACACAATTGTCTCATGGACCATAAGATTTTTTTAAACAGAATTATCTATTCATATCTCTATTAGTATTACTGCCATTATCAAAAGCTACTATTAGCTTCTAATAAACTGACTACCTATTTGTAATTAGTCTCTAGAGCAGCTCTTAATCGCGATCAATTAAAATGCATTAGAATATAGCAATCAGAATTATCTATTAGCTCGTCTATAACTGTGCTAATCTATCAGACTAAGGGAAAAATCCACTAATAGCTGTTACTACCTGTAGCAGCTATCAATACAGTTACCTACTATAAGGTCCTATTATCAGAATCTAGTGACAGACCGATCTACTAGTAACTGTATTAGCTATTAATACACCTAATGTAATCGATTGTATTATCTGTTATCTGGTAGTATCTACTATCACTAGTAATATATTACAAATATATGACAATACATTGCAATGTGATACGAGTATTTGAATACGTAAGTAGATTTATGCGTGCTGGTAGCTGGCGGGTGAAGCCGACGCTGTTCTGCCTTCACCCAGGTAGCCAAGGGCTCTGCTTGGCAAAAGCCGGGCCAAGGCAACAGGGCCAAGACCCTCGGGCAGCGGCCACCAGCCCGCCGTGACCTTCAGCCCAGTCCCAAGCACTGGGGGCTCTTCCCTGGGGGGGGGGGAGCCCACACTCATCCGCCGGTTTTAAGGCCGTTTCCGAGGTGAAAGTCCCGCTGTGGTGGAAGCAAACCCAAAGATGGGGGAAGCGCGTGTTGGTGCCTTGGGAAGCTGCTCCCGGGGAAGGGAGCCCTGGTGGGGGCCACTGCAGGAACAAACTCAGCACCTGGCTTGGAACTTTGTACTTTATTTTCACATATATAAAAAAAACCCTTGCAAGTATCAGACAAAACTTCTGGAAATTTACACACAATCCAACAAAAATATATATATAAACCAAAGCTGTTGCTTCAAACACCACTTGTAGCTCACGAGTATAGCTCACCGCTTGTTGGGGGGCTGCGTGCTGGCTCCCCGCGACCGGCGGAGGATGCTGGGGGTGGGCAAGGGGACACCTCTCCTGCCCCCCCCAGGGTTAGCCCCAGCCCCTTGCCGAAGGGCTGGGGCGGGGG